TTTCAGAGGATGTCACGTATGCTAGCAATGTATTTGGAACGTTAATTATTGTAATCATTTGAAAGCTATGTGGTTTTCACTAATTAGCTTTGAAACCCAAACTTGTATTATCATTTGTGAACTCATTGTAAGTATTATTTCCACTGCAACTCCGTGTATGTGATGTGTATTTTATTAATCATGCAATCTTGGTTGTGATGTTGATTTACCGAGGTCCTTCGTGACACTCGGCGGACTACCGGGTTTATATAAGTGAAAGTATGTGCGCGTCAACGTGTTAAACGGGGATAGCCGTACTTGATCTTTTATAAATTGGACGGTTCTATCACACACCCCACCTAAAACCAGGTATTCTACCTCTCAAACTATTAAAAATCGTCTAAATAACCCCCCGAGGCGGTTTTGAAAGTGGTTTTGTTGACATGACATATTAAAAAGTCTATATAACCCTCTTACATATTAAGAATTGATTGCATGACCCCTCAACTATAAAATATGATATTATAGCCCGCAAAGCATCAAATAATATTCAAATGACTCATCGGATGGTCTTTAGGGTCGTTTGGACACCGTATCCCACCACACTGGCCTGAACACACATGTTTGCACGCAGGCCATTTGTTGCCTCCACCTCCCTACTCTTTTTAGGTAGGTGAAAGGTCCTAATGGCTAGAGGGGGGTGAATAGCCTAATAAAAATTTCTACAACAACACTTAACCAAATGGTTAGACAATTATGAAGCGAAGCGAGTGTTGCGCTAGCCTACTCAATAATGCAAGCCACCTACCACAATTCTAGTTTAGATAGTGTCAATTCACACAAGAGCAATGAAACTACCCTATGTTAGTGTGCTCTCAAAGGCTAACTAAAGAGCCACACCAACCAAGCATGCAAGCTCTCACAACTAGCTACACTAAAGAGCTTGTCAACTAGTTTGCGGTAAAGTAAAAGTGAGCAAGAGAGTTATACCGCCGTGTAGTGGTAGGAACCAATCGATCACAATGATGAATACCAATGTAGACCAATCACCTCGGAATCAAATGATGAACACAATGTTTTTTACCGAGGTTCACTTGCTTGCCGGCAAGCTAGTCCTCGTTGTGGCGATTCACTCACTTGGAGGTTCACTTGTTGATTGGCATCACTCACCAAACCCTCAATAGGGTGCCTTTAACCAACACAAGATGAGGATCACACAAGCCACAAGCAATTTACTAGAGTACCTTTTGGCGCTCCATGGAGAAAGGTCAAGAACCCCTCACAATCACCACGATCGAGTGGAGACAATCACCTCCTCCACTCAACGATCCTTCTTTGCTCCAAAGCCGTCTAGGTGGCGGCAACCACCAAGAGTAACAAGCGAAATCCATGAAACACAATCACCAAGTGCCTCTAGATGCAATCACTCAAGCAATGCACTTGGATTCACTCCCAATCTCACTATGATGATGAATCAATGATGTAGATGAGTGGGAGGGCTTTGGCTAGGCTCACAAGCTTGCTATGTCAATGAAAATGTGCAAGAGAGCTCCCTTGAGCGGCCATGGGGCTATAAATAGAGCCCCAATGAAATGAGCCGTTGTACCCTTTCGGGCACAAACGCAGGCGGGGTGATCGGGACTTCCGTCGATCGACGGGTGGCCCTCGGTCACGTCCGGTCACGTGGACGTGTCCCCGACTTCAAATGTTGTTCGTCGATTTCAGCGGTCGTGAAGGTACGGACTCTCTCCGAGAAAAGCGACCGGACGCTGATTTGATGTCCGGTATTTATAAGCTCCCGAGGCATGTTTTTTCGACGGACGCGTCCCGTCCCAATGATCATATTTGCTCAAGTAGCCATCTGTAGGTGAATGATGACCGGGCCTTAGCGATCGCCCGTAGGAGGTTATACAGATTCAGCGTCCGGTCCACAGGACCGACGCTTGACATCATTCGATCAACTCCATTTCAACTCTTACTTCTTCACCCTTGCTCAAGAGTGCCAACCACCAAGAATTTTGCATCCGGCGCAATAGAAAATAGACATTTCATTTTCCCAAACCCATCTCAACCCTGCAAACACCTTGTGCACATGTGTTAGCATATTTTCACAAATATTTTCAAGGGTGTTAGCACTCCACTAGATCCTAAATGCATATGCAATGAGTTAGAGCATCTAGTGGCACTTTGATAACCGCATTTCGATACGAGTTACACTCCTCTTAATAGTACGGCTATCTATTCTAAATGTGATCACACTCACTAAGTGTCTTGATCACTAAAACAAAATGGCACCTACAAGTTATACCTTTGCCTTGAGCTTTTTGTTTTTCTCTTTCTTCTTTCCAAGTCGAAGCACTTGATCATCACCATGCCATCATCTTTATCATGCTATGATCTTCATTTGCTTCACCACTTGGAGTGTGCTACCTATCTCATGATCACTTGATAAACTAGGTTAGCACTTAGGGTTTCATCAATTCACCAAAACCAAACTAGAGCTTTCAGTAGGCCATCTTGTCTCCCGCTTCACCTCCCATCACTCATCGATGGCATTGAGCTCAAGCACGCCATGCCTACATCGTCGTCGTTCAGCCCCTCCCACATCCTCTATCCGATTGTCCTTCAATTTTTTAGGTAGCAATCGGAAGAGAAAGCGAGAGGGGGTGAGGATGTGGGAGTGGGAGGAGCCGGATGACAAAAAGGGCACAAGCGTCGGCATGTGCTCTATGTTATCGAGGAGTGCATGGGGTGGAGTAGGAAACAAGATGGTGCTCACCGGACGGTAGCACAAGCCTAGAAAAGAGTTCAGAAAGGGAGGTAGTCGATGGGCATGTGTGCAAGCATGTGTGCTTAGGCCATTGTGGTGGGATTCGGTGTCCAAACAACCCTACATGACCATCATTTGAACATTATTAGATGCTTTAAGGGCTATAATATCATATTTTATAGTTGAGGGGTCATGCAGTCAATTCTTAATGTGTTAGGAGGTTATATAGACTTTTTAATATGCCACGTCAGCAAAACCACTTTCAAAACTGCCTCGGGGGTTATTTAGACGGTTTTCAATAGTTTGAGGAGTAGAATACCTAATTTATAGGTGAGGGGGTGAAGTAAACAACCACTAATAGTTGAGGGAGTTAAGTAGACTTTTTCCCTCTCATATATATATATCTCCAACATACTCTCCATTTTTTTTTGTTCTCTACACTTCAAAACCCTATCATAAATTTCCTCATGTGAAAAATTCATAAGAAAACTACCATATATTGCATTTTAGAGAGTCATGTAGCCTCTCCAAAACCTATGAAAAGTAGTTCACAGTCTATTAGAGTATTTTTTTTATTTGTTTTCAAAACTTTATGATAAAAAAATTATGTGGGGAGTCCAACAAGTCTGTGGGTGGCTCAAAGCCCATCTACTAACCTTTGCTGCTTTGCACCATCCTATATTCCTGCTCGGCCTGGTTGTTGATTGGGTAGCAGCAGCTCGCTGGTGCCTACTGGGCCGACTTGGAGTGGGAGCCCAGAACTGCTCGGATGGGTTGGGCTGACGAGTGACGAGGCCAGGAGACTGAGGTGCGCACGCCGCACGCTCACAAGATCCCATTATTAAACGAAGTTCCTTTTATTAAACCAACCAGGAGTTGCTAGTTTCTTTAGCGTATCACAGAAACAGTATAAACAAGTACTGTAACAGCCATCACATATGAACCGAATGGTAATTTCGCTGTGGACATTGTAAGCCTTGTTTGAAGGTTCACAGTAGTGCTGTGCTTCCCTTATCCGATGATTAGGCGACACAGAAAATCCCGTGAAAGGGTGCTGCTGCCTGTTGTATACTGATAGGCGTGTTCGATCTCTACTCTAGGAACACAATATATGCGTTACGCAAGGTTCAGGAAACAAAATTGAAACAGAAAAATGTTTAACGAGCAGAGCTCCTGTGTGGCTGTGTCGTTCGGAACGGGGGAATAGTTACAATCCCACTTCTCAGATTGGACTCCCCTAGATCTCCCACAAACGAAACAATAACAATCTCACATTCTCATTTAGTACTCCATGGATTGTTCTTGTTATATACTACTGGGTACAGAGACCCATCTTGAAATAATGAAATTTATCATCACCTGCACTCATATCAGAAAGCTTGAAGCATTGCTTGGAATTGGAATTCTCAAGTCTTCGGGAAATATCAAGACAGGGCTTGAACAACTTGACTGCACCCTTCTCTACATGCAAATGCACGCAGAGGGATGACCTGGGACAGGCTCCCTTCAATCAAGGTCCACATAGAGATAACGAGCACTCACAGATACGGATGTGATCAGCAACCAAGCTCCTCCGGTCAAGATTTTCAGCCTGAGAAGCTTTCAGTAGGTGCTATCTGTACTGTATATCAGTATATCCATCGCCGACAATGAGATATCAGCACAGCAACAAATCGATATGTTTCCATCCAGAGAAGAAGGTAACCCCACATTCCCTCTAGTTGTTAGGCGGAGTCCTGCAGAATATGGCACTGCCTAAGATCCAATGGACCATCCCAAGCACGGAAACAACTTGCAAGATCCAACAACTCATAAGCCATCCTCAACTTGGGTCTTGGGTACCTGCATCGAAGTGTAATTCAGAAACACATAATTAGTGCACGTGGAGTGAACAAAGAGTGATTCAGTGCGTGGTATTTCTGCCACAACACAGGGATTGTGAAGTATAAAACTATGGTTCTGTTTCAGACATCAGACAAAAGAATATGCCCACCATTCTTTCTCTTTCATCAGTTGCCTCTTGCTTCAGCTACGATGCAGGATACTAGAAACTACACGTTATAGATGTTGCAATAAATAAGAAAGATATGCTTCAAGATATGATGTAAACCAGTCCATTCATCCCAGAAACACCAGGGAAGTGTACATCCCTGCTTGAATGCCTAATGGGCACCACTTCCATCGTCAAGGTCTCGGCAGAACCACCATGGATATAAATTGATGATCCAGCCTGAGAACTGCAAGCTCCAATATGTCTTCCATGGAAGAGCCTCTGCTACCTTTGGTCCAGCGTGACCAAAAGTACATTTCCAAGAAAGACAGAAGAAGATCCTGTGATGTTCCAAGCAGGTGTGCAACTTCCTTTTCCCCAAACAGTAATCTCAAAGCTAACTTCAGTACTCTCAATCATCTGCCGCCCACTGATGAAAGTACCAATACGGTATCCTCACCAAATATCCAGCGGGTGCACTCTTCACCTTCCATATTCACATCAAGCAAAGAAGCACCCTGTGTGGATGAGCTTGATGGCCAAAGCTGTGCTGCTGCTGCACAATATACACCATCAATTGCAAGGCAGGCTAGTGTCAGTGTCATCTTATACATCTCAATAGGGGTACTTGTGTACATGACAAATGTTGAAGGCTTCAAGGGGAAATCCACATTCAAGTTAGTGGATGCTCTTTACTTCACCATCATTAGTTTGTGCACAATAGGATACGGTGACATAGTCCCATGTACTAACTTCACAAAGGTGTTCACATGCTTGTTCCTACTAGTTGGTGTTCGTTTCATTGACCTTATGCTAAATGGGCTGTTGACAAATGTACTGGACAAGCAGAGAACAGTTCTACTTAGCACAATGGATGATAACAAGCTTAACAAGGTGTTTGACACCTACATGATTGATGCTAGAAAGAAAAGGTCAAGAGGGAGGATGAAAGTAATACTTGCATTAGCGGTTGTAGCAGGCACTATCTCAATTTGCACAATAATAGTACATGAAGCTGAGGGCTTAAACTGGATCGATAGTTTCTATTTATCAGTTATCTCTGTTACAACAGTTGGATATGGAGACAAAAGCTTCTCAACAACAGCAGGAAGGCTCACAGCCACTGTGTGCCTGTTAGTAAGCACTTTAGCAGTTGCAAAGGCCTTCTTGTTCCTAACAGACTTAAGGATGGACAAAAGAAACCGGCGGACTACAAAATGGATCCTCCAGAAGAAAATGGACAATGAGCCACTTGTTGGAGACCTAGACAACAATCCTGCTGTAAGGTACAGTACAGTTTTCCATGAAAGATTATTTCATTAAAATTTATGTTTTGAAGTTGCCTTTCAACAATTAATACCTGGAAGTTCTAAAAAATAATTAATACCCAAAAGGGAAGCAACTTTTCAGAGAAACTATACTTCTAATATGTTGCTTATATTTAATTCAATGATTACATCATGATCTTTTTGAAGATATGGACTTTATTAATTCCTTACATGAAAAAGAGACAAAAAATTGTTATTTCTTTTAGGCACTGAATTTATCCTTTTTTGAATTAAAAATAAATTACTGTAAAGGTAGTTTATGCGCTGAAAATATAGGTTTAAAATCCTGAATGCATTAGTAAACAAAAGAATCTTTATACAAAACTATACGTCCTCATAGCCACCTGTACAAACTAACTTTTCTTTTGGAGTTTCTGATGAAACTAGGCCCAAAATCCTAATTTCTAAAAAAATGTCTGCAGTAGAGACACTAACATTCTATAAATAGAAAGACAGGGCAAGGTTACATGACTGTCGTGAAAGTGACATGAACATCAACCCCTTACCACCGTAAACTACATTTACTTTGCTCACATCTTGTATACTTCTCATTCTATTCATTTGAATGTAAGTCATATTCAATGTATATAGTTTTCAATGGCCATTCGTTAATAATCTGCTTGCTCCTATGCAACAGCAAATCAGATTTTGTGATCTACAAGCTCAAGGAGATGGGGAAGATTGATGAGGAAGACATCAAAATGATCTCTTACCAGTTTGATCAGATAGAGTTTGGAAAATGTGAAAGGATCCCTCTTGCAGATATAATTGGAAAATTATGAATCTGGTATCTGTAACTTAGGAATATCCCATATCACGATGATAGACGTACTCTTAGAACCTCGTATGCTTTGTTAAGTAGAATGCACAAGTATGTGTGACATATTTAATACCCTTGCATGCCATGAATGTTCAAATACATTATCTGTTGCAGTTTAACTCAAATCTGAAAGTTGTGTATTGTGGTTGAACTCAAAGTTCAGCTTGGCGCTAGGCGGAATCTAGGCGCTGACCCATTGCCTAGCGCCTAGTCGGGAGTACTCGGTCCTAGACGCTCCTAGGCGTTTTCCTAGGCGTTTTGGCAATATAGCCATAAATTATATATATATTATGTATATAACTATATATATGTATATAACTACTATATATGAGTCACAGTAAGTATAAAAAGAGGGCCAGAGACATCGATTCATAGCTGGCTTACTCTTGCATGTTCCTAGCTATTGCATTTGGTAATAATTACAATACAAGTGGATAGGACCAGATAATACAAGTGCACAACACTGGATCTGTGGTTTGCTATCATCTTAAGTCCCAGATTCAGTCCTCTAGGGCCTAAAATCCTAGTCGTTGGGCCATCAACACCACATACCCCATGTAATTTCAATGATAAAGCCCAATAATGAAGGTTTAGATGCTATAAACCTAACCTCCGACTTGGCTCAAAGCTCCTATCTAGCCTTTACAAGCATCTGTATGTCAGACGGCCTTTGCCACTTGTCACTTCTCTGCTTCTCACTGCCCACCTCTTTGACTGGGAGGAGGCGATGAACTGTTCAATTTCATATCGGCGATTTCATCTGTAAATTAATATGCTCTATAAGGCCACGCCATGCATGGCGCACAAGCCCTGTTGGGCCACGGATTGTTTATAAATGAGAAGCGCCCATCCCATCTGAAGTGCATTTTCATCTGGGTGGCCAACGCGCAAGTGCATGGCTCCACACCAACACAAAAGCCAGGCAACCGATTTTGGATGAGAATCGCGCTCTCAGCTCCAATGGCTCCATCAGCTGACTGTACTGGCTCGAGCCCCTTAGCGGCCGCCCATCAGAGTTATCACCATTAGATGCCCTGGGCCCTTAGCCCGCGCTCAATTAACATGTTTTGCTTCGCCGAAATGCCCTGACTGATCATGATTATGCCCTCATTCAGGCGGGCTTCGCCAGCGACTAAGCGGCAGCGTAGTGCGTCATGAGTAGTCGCCGCCTAGCCGAACTTTGGTTGAACTAAAGACTGCATTCATCTCCAGAATGTCTTAAACATATGGGGGAAAACAGAAGAAACACAATGAACCAACAGACGATATTCAATGCATTCATAAAAAAAACTCGACCTGAAGGGGTTAAGACTGCCCCCACAGCATTCCAAATAAGAAGACCTTCTCACCAGGACGAGAAAACCCCCGAACCCCCGCCCCACCCTTACACGGTGGCTTTCTGTCGCCCAAGTGAGAATTAGGCTGGTGCCCCCCCCCCCCAGTGCTTTGGATATGGGATGGACGAGGGGATTTTTTTTAACCTTAGCCTGAAATTCGCTCCCACGGGGAGTCGAACCCAAGACCCGAGGAGTGCCGTCGGGGTACTCTGACCAACTGGACTAGAGGCCCTTTGTCCAATGCATTCATACAGATATTGGATTCCTGAGGTTTCCTTAAGCAATGGAGAGGCAAACTCACCCATGAAACAGATGGGGATTCATGCCACCAATTCACTGTTCTGTGGTTTGCAATCATCTTAAGTCCCCAGATTCAGTCTCTTCTATTATCATACCCAAAATCCTTGCAATCCTGAAACAGTTAGTTACTGTAATGAAGATCAAGGATATCTTGTGCAATGATAAATGACTGTTATTAGAATGGAAAAGTTTAGATGCTATGAATTTAATATCTGACTTGGCATCAAAGACTCACTTTTCTCTAGTTTCCTTTACAAGCATCTGTATGTCAGATAACCTTTGCCACTTGTCACTTCTCTGCTTCTCACTGCCCACACCTTCTTGACTGATTGGGAACTGATGAACTGTTCAATTTCATATTCCAATGATTTCATCTGTAAATTAATATGCTCTATAAGGCCATCATATGCAGAATGATTCTTTATGTTGTTTGCTGGGTCAGGATTGTTTATAAATGAGAAGCTATCGGACATCTGAAGTGCATTTTGCTCTGGGTGGCCAACCATGCTTGCAATTGCATGTGCCTCCTTTCTCAACTCAAAAGATTCATTTTCAACCGATTTTGGATGAGAATCGCTACTCTCAGCTCCAATGGTTCCATCATTGACTGTACTGGAGAAAACCCTTATATTCTCATCAGAGTTATCACCATTAGATGTCCCTGGACGCAACGCATACTCAATTAACATGTTTTGCTTCATCGAAATTACCTGAATCCAACAAAATTGCTCATTCAGGGTTGCATATACCATATGATTTATGAACAGAAATTCACAACAATCAGTTCCTGAGTACTGCACTTATATGCCACAGTTGAAGCAAATACTTTTAAATTTCAGACTGTGATCAGCAGAATCACTGGATGAACAGTGTGGCATACAAATGCAAACAATGGCTTGTGCAGTAATTTTGAGCAACTGGAATGAAGTTAAAGAATACAGAACCTTCTAGAAAAAAGAAATCAGTCATACCGTTTTACATGATACTAAAAAAACATGTCATCACCTCACTAATCTTTGCGGAGAGCCTGTCAAGCACCTCAATGCGCTCTTTAATGTTCTCCAGGGCTTTGGTCAATTTCTTCTTCTGCACAAGTAAATCCACAGCCTCGTTCTCTTTGCCCATCCGGACACTGGTTGCGGCTCGCTTCTTAAGATTCTCAGCAGCCTCAGTCAACCGCACAAGCCTTACCCTCGCGCTATTTGCTATGAAAAAGGAAAAAAAAAAGAAATTGTTACAATGATAGTGTGCAGTTGAGCAAATGCTCCAGCCGGCACATTGTACTCATACCCACATGGGAATTAAGTCTCATCCTAATGTCATATGATTACACATCACTACATCAGGTGAATCTAAGATGGCTAGGTAGAAACACAAGTTACTGGAGAGTGGAGACAAATCAAACTGCACCTTTAACCTTTGGGAGTCACACTTGCTGTAATGGGAAGTACCAGAAAATCTGGACAGTGAAACAGGAGCATGCTCCGGTCCCATGAACACATTAAGCATTCCAGACTTCCTGTGATAGATAGACATGTTACCTTTGGATTGGGTGAGGTCGGCTTCGGCGTGGAGCTGGAGGAGCTCCTCCCTTAGGCTCGCGAACGTCGGCGGGGTCCGTTCGCCGCCGACTCCGCTAGACGTCGCCAGGACGACGGCGAACAGCGGAGGAGCTGCCCCGGGCGCCGCCTCCATCCGGCCAGGGCAGCAGGCGCCCGAAGTGTCGTGGGCGTGACGGCGAAGGTCATCTCCAGACTCCAGTACACTCCCTAGTCCCTGCAGCGCTCCCTCGTCTCGGCAGGAGGCGTCTCGGGCTGCGCCGGCCGCAGGGTGTGCTAATCTTGGGAGTCAATGGGTACGGTCAGGAAGCGGAAAATGTAGATTACGTAAAGTTCTGTTGAAGACGTGTATCGCCAAGCGTTCGCGTCAAATCCTGCAGGCTGCAGCCTTCCCTCTAAAAGGCTCTATACGGTAGGTGCTATTGCAAGACCAGAACGATGGATGCGGTGCATGTACAATACGTATGTACGGTGTATCTGTCGCGTGCTATAGCTTTGGAGTTTGTTTGGACCGTTTGGTCGCTTGGCCTCATCCACGCTACTGTAACACTTTACGAGGTACCTGTTTAGAAAAAAATACAATTATGAGATCCATGTCGATTAAAGTAACTTAAGTTTAACTAAGTTTATAGTAAATAATATTAATATTATGTCTATAAATAAATTTATTATGAAAATATATTTTACGACTAATCTAATGATACTAATTTTGCATAAGGAAAATTAATATTTTTTTATATAATTTTGATCAAAGTTCAAACTGATTAACTTCTCGGTAAACGAGAATTGTATTTTTTGTGAACGAAGGTAGTACAAGTATAACACAATACTGAACCCTCTGACTTTCAACTCCCAGGAAAAAATTGCATCTACCAGTCAATTTGCTAGGTAGAACACACACACCTCTGGGGCTGGAGCACACGGGCAAAGAAGTTCACCGCGTTTTGTTTCCTGCTGGATCAGTCCAACCTGACAGTCCATCTCGCACGGTGCACAATCATCGTCACTCTATATATGGGCAAGCACTTGGGTTCTCTACCGCGCCGGCCCCCCGGTGCTTCTTCTCCACTGCACCCCTGCAGCGACTTGGGACCGGGAGTAGTAGCCTTGTGTGCATGGAGGAGGATGGAGTGTGGAAGCAAATGCAGCGCAGCATCAGCAGGTGAGCACGCCTGGAGGCTGGCTGCAACTCAGGCTACAGGTCGTCTCGTCTCTTATATACTTTCGCATTGGATTCTTACTTCTTAGCACTGTTTTAAATAGCCGGCTAAGCCATTTAGCTTTTAATGTCCAAAAACAGGCTATAGCCAGCTATAGCTGCAGCTAAAAGCTAACTTGCACATGAAAAAACTTAGCTAAATCCTTCTCAAACAACTATAGCCGGAGATAGCGGAGGCTATAGCCGGAGATTTAAAACCTTGCTTCTTAGTTACTCTGTTCTCGCTTGTACCTTGAGTCTTTGACGTTTCAGACTTTCAGTTATTCAGATGTTGGCCGTGCTGTTCGCGTCCAGTACATGAGAGAAGAATCCTCTCCTCAGACTTCTTCCTTTTCTTGTCAACGTGCAGGATTGTAAGTTTAAAATGAAGTGATAGGTGTCTATAGCCAGCTCAGTCGACAAGCGTGCGGTTTCAGACAATCCAGTATCAGCACGGACGTAACGAATACAAGCAATTCGAGTGGCGGCTGTTCATGGCAATTGGTAGCGCTGTTGAATGAGCTCTGAGCTGTGCGTGCATATATAGATGGCCAGAGCAGCAGGTTTGTGGCCCCGTTAGTGCTCAAACTGCTCTCTTGGCATAATGCGCAGGCATGAACAGTAGGTGCAGACATTAAGCCAGACCTTATACAATACAAATGCAGCAGTTCTATTTCAATCAATCCATGAATATTCTCATTACTCATGTTCCCCCCATGCTTGACCAAACTGTCACATATAGTCACACTCACACAAAACACTAACCACGCAAAGAGACTCAGTGCTTCTATGTATACTACTCCTATATAGCTGTTCATTCACGAATGGTGATTAGCCTAATGATGCACTGAATAGTAGGAGTACATTCACGACTAAAATGCAGATGAAGTTATTGTGTCCTTGGGAGGAATCGTGAATAAGCTTAAGCTAAGCTCCACCCTGATCGTTCTCACCATCAGCATCCTTGTGATCGCCAAAGTAATCGACGATGCGCTCCTCGTTCATCAACGAGTCGAGGAACGAGGAGAAGGTGGCGTCGTCCACGATGGGGCAGTCCAAGCCGAACACGCCACGAGCTGCAACATCTGGTGCACAGAATGGATCACCGAGTCCATCGAAGCCCTCGGCGCCGAGACCCACCATGCTGCTGGCGAAGTCGCCGACAACACCGGCGCCGGACGGCGAGCTCGGGTGCGCTGGCGGCGGTGGCGCAAACTGTGGCTCGACTTCCGGCAGTGGCGGCGTCTTGTCGGCAGAAACGGCAGCTGCTGCTGCAGCGTCGGCGTGGTGGGAGTAGGGGCTAGCAGCTGCTCCGGGCAGAGGCGTGTGCGTCCGCGGGTCGATGCCCCGCGCGATGAGCTTCTTGCTGAGGTGTGAGTTCCAGTAGTTCTTGATCTCGTTGTCCGTGCGCCCAGGCAGCCGCCCGGCGATCAGCGACCACCTGCACGCACGCAATGTAAGCATGGAGGGCATTGCACTCCGCTGCAGGGGAGAAGAGAGCTACGGGCAGTGCACAAGTGTACACTAGACGCACCGGTTGCCGAGCAGGCGGTGGAGGCGGAGGATGAGGTCCTCCTCGTCGGCGGCGATGGGCCCGCGCTTGATGTCCGGCCTGAGGTAGTTCATCCACCGGAGCCTGCAGCTCTTGCCGCAGCGCAGCAGCCCCGCGCGCCGCGGCAGCGTGCGCCACCGCCCCTCCCCCTCCGTCGCCACGGCCCGCGACAGCAGCTCGTCCTCCTCCGGCCTCCACGCCCCACGCTTGAGCGTCCTCATCACCCCCGCGCCCGCGCTGGCCACGCCCCGCTGCTGCGCCGCCGGCTTCCGCGTCATGATCCCTCCTGCCGGCCTGCTCGTGTGGCTACTCCTACTACTTACTAGCCGAGAGAGCCTGGCTGGTGGTGGCTGCTCAGCCGCTCGATCGCTCACGCGTAGCCAGAGGAAGCGTGCGCGCCGTGCACCGCGACGCGGGACGCCAACCCAGAGAGGCAAAGGGTCGTTGGGGTGGTTCGTTCCTTGGGCGCGGGGGTCTGCTGCGTTTCGGGAAACGGAGGGATTCCGCGGCAATCAGATCGCGTTGGGTTGGATCAGCCGCGTTCCTGCCGTCGCCGTCGCATCGTGTCACGGACTTTGCCTGCTTGCTTCATGCGCAGCCCCTGCCTGGTTGCTTGCTTTGCCTGCTTGCTTCTCCTGGGCTTCTGGCGAATGGCGATGCTAGGTTGCGTCCTGTTGGGCTGGGCCATGCCCACCTCGCTACTCTAATGGGCCCAGCCTAGCGGACCGGGCCAACAATGTCCAGGTGATGAAACAAATCGACTGCTATGAACGTGATTGGTAGGGTGCCTGCCTCTTGGCCTAGTTGGGCACATGAACTAGGTTCAGCTTCAGCAGAACAAGGCTTGAGGATCCACAGATGCAGCTCCCCAAGTAGCAGGCTGTTTAGCCAAGTTGCACTTCAGATTTTGATCGGACGCCAGTATACGAATAGTGACACAGAAATGTTATACAACATATATATATTTTAACAAAAAAATATATGGATTTTTCTTCTCTCTCTCTCTTTTCAACTGTCTTCTCGGCCTATACGCGTATAAGCGTGCACTCCCACAGCGGCATGACCAACTCGGCTCCCACGGAGGACCAGCGCGCCAGCCAACCGAAGGACCGCCCATCCTATACGCGTATACGCGTGCGGCCGGAGGACCGTCTGTCTGATGCCCGATTTGGCCCAGTTCGCTTGTCTTAAAAATAACTTGTCGGGCGGCGGCCGGAGGACCACAACAATTCGCCGGACAGTGTTTCCGACGCCAGCCAAGTTTTGACGGGTCCTTTGTCCTTTTGTCCTTGCATAGAAAAAAATATTTCTTATGATCTGTGATCTGTGATCTTGTGATTTGTGATTGTCTGGAGGTAGAAGAAGGTTGGAGGTAGGAGAAGGCTGGAGGTAGAAGGAGGATGGAGGCTGTTGGATCTTAATTTTATGGTGCAAAAAAATTCATGAGTTGAAACTGCATAAAACACATGGTTGTATGGTAGACAGACTCATATTGATATGCTAACCTTGTATTATTTTTAAATTACACACTACAACAAAGACATCCATAACACGTGCGCACACTCACCCCTAGGAACACATGTACCTAAACATTAACCCTATGACACATCCGAATGACTCAGCCGACAAATCATAAAATTTACAAAGTCACCACAGGCGCCTCGCTGTTGACAGGGACGTCGCCTACCACTAAAAACATAGTGCCATTAAATTCTAAAATAAATATAAGAAAATACGAGCACACATATCAAATCAAGAACTTAAACTCGGGTGGACAGGTTCCACCACAAGGAACCCAACCATCAGTTTGCGATATGCTAACCTTGTATGTTGGTAAAACAACTAGTGTTCCTTCACTTAATAAAGGAAAAGCCAGAAATAAGAGAGCAACAAAATTTATAAGAAAACACATAGATTTAAGTCTTGTTTGGTAGAGCTCTACCAGCTCCACATTAAAAAAAACACAGCTTCATCCCACGAATCTCAGCCGAACGTTTGAGCTCCACGAAATCTAGATCGGCAAAAAATCATGAAACTAATGGTCAGATCCATAGATTTTATGGAGCTCTTCAAGGGGTGCATTCAAGGGGTGCATTAAAAACTGTTGTTTCATATTTCTTCGAGGAGTTAGGAAAAATTACCCACCACTACCACTCATTACATAACATACTGGCTCATTTCCTTTTACTCTTTATCTTCTTCTCACTCGAGCATAGTCGTGCGCCACCGCCTCTCACGACCATACGCCACCGCCTCACCGTCGTGGTCTCCAACCTGTAGGACACCTCTCCCGGGCGTGCCCGGCCATGGCCCCACCCCGTTGTGGTTGCCCTGTTGTGGTGGCCCCACCGCCTCGCTCCGTTGTGGTGGCCCCACCGCCTCGCTC